TGGACATGTGCTGCCTGCTCTCAGACCCAACCAGATCCCTGTGGTTCTGCAAGAGCACCATTCTCACTTCCTTCAAGGCCCCCGCATGGCTGGTCCCCATGTCTGAATGGCCTCCTGCCCTGCCTCTCTTCCCTTCTGACACGTGGCTAATTCTGACCATTCTGTATAGGTCATCTGTTGCTGTGTAACAAATTTCCCCAAAACACAGTAGCTTAAAACAACATTTTTTAATCTCACGATTTCTCTGGGCCAGCAATCAAACATGCTGAGCTGGGTCCTCTGGCTCTGGGTCATCCCAAGGCTCAACTGAGAAGGCCCCTTGCTCCCTGAAGTGGCTGTGACAGGACTCAGTTCCTCATGGGGTGTTGGGCTGACAGCCTCCCTTCTTCCCAAGCTATTGACCGGAAGTCTTCCTCAGTTCCTCACCACGTGGGCCTCTCCACAGTGCATGTAACAACATGGCAGCTGGCAGAGTGAGCAGGCAAGAGGGAATGCCAGCAGGATGGAAGTCACAGAACTTCTCAACCTAATCTTGGAAGTAACATCCATTCATTTTGCCATATTTTCTTCTCTGGAAGCAAGCCACCAGGTTTGGTCCACATATGAGGAGTGGGTGACACAAGATATGAATACAAGAGGTGGGCAGGGATGACCAGGGGCCATGGCAGAAGCAGCACCCCACACCTTCTTTCAGCATTCAGTGTCAGTGCCTCTTTCTCCAGGAAGCCTTCCCTGACTCCTGGGTTAGGAGCTCCTTCCCTGAGCACACACAGCTCAGGGACCCCTGCACGATGTGTAACACATTACTGTGCATGAGCCCTGCTGATGAGCCCCGTTACCTCACCAAACTGGGGGGTCCCAAAGGACAGAAACTCTGTCTTACTAGTTTATTCTTTGCTGTATTTCCAGCCCCCATCTGCTGTGGGCACACAGCTGGGCTCAGTGTTTTTTAAACCAAATGTTTCTTCACTAGTTGAAAAGCAGTGACAAATACTAGTTCATATGCATTGTTTCATAAATGCAGATAACATTAGACTATACAGAATTTAAGATAAGAATAATCCTTACAGATGATCTAATAACATCTGATTTATTTTATATTGTAACAGAATCCTACGTAGATTCAAATTCCCATCCCAGAGCCCACCTAACTCATCAAGTTATTTTAAGGCTTAAATGAGATTATGTACACACAGTTGTAGCTCAGTGACCAGCATAAGGCTAATACCAATAAATACCGCTAATGGAAGTTTAACTTCAGCTGAATATAACAGAAACCCAAATACAGCTTTTAAAATGTGAGCTTCATTCCCTTTCATGGTGAGGGCAGTACAGGGCTAGCACATCACTGCCATAATGCCATTAATACCCCAGGCTCCTGCTTAATCATCTCATATGTTTAATGATGAATCATGGTCCAAGGTGGCTGCCAGAGCTCCAGCCATTCCACTGAAGTTCCAAACAGGAAAAAGGAGACAAAGGGAGGAAGGACCAAAAGGGCTCACCTTCCAGTGAGTGAATAAACTCTTTATTAAGAGCCTTTTGAAGAAGCCCTATCTGGTGATTTCAGCTTGTATCTCACTGGCTACCTCCAGCTGTAAGCAGGGCTAGGATTGGAGTCTTTTAGCTAGACACAGTGCCACACTGACTGAAACTAGGGTTTTATTAGTGAAGAAGGGAAGAATGAATATTGACTAGGCAACTAAGAGGACTGTCTTGCATACCTTACATTATTAGTATAAGTAGACAAGGAGATGCTTGTTTATTTATACTAATACTGTTAACCAGAAGCCCCACATACAGGCACTGCGTGCTCAGACTGAAGTGGGGAGGGGTGGGTGCCTTCAGCTCCCTCCGTGCCCCTCACAGTGACCTTGAATTACCTGAGAGGTCCCTCGGAGGGCCACAGCAAACACTATGAAAACTCCCTCTTAACCTTGGTCAGGTCTTTGCACCTCTCGGGACCTCCATTTCATCCCCTGGAAAATAAGAGTGATAAAGGCACACCCGCATGAGACTGGGATGGGGACTAAATGTTGGTACAGGACCTGGCACTCGCCCACACAACGTTGTTGTTACAACCTGGAGAGAGAAAGTGGCAAAGCCCTACATCTGGGCCTCGGCCTTCCCAAAAAGTGCTCTACTGGCTTTTTTAAAAAACCAATGTACTGAATCCCACTTGCTTGGCAGGAGGCCCCGGGCGAATCTGGGGCAGCACAGAACACTGCCGAGTGCCAGGGTGTACCCCACCGCAGCATTTTTCCATGGACTCTGCCCGTTTGGCCCCGGCTCACAGTGGGAGCTGTGGTCCCCGTGGAACAGTGCGTCCCGGGTAGACCGCGTGGTGCTGCCCCGCGGTGATTCATGCATGTCTGTGGGGAGCCAGCCCCGAAGCCGGCGCGCCCTGCTGCCAAGTGGGCCTCGGCTGGTCCTGCTTCCCCTGGGGCTGGAGGGCCTCCAAGCTTCTCTGCTGAGCCTCAGAACCTTGGGCCCAGCCCGAATTCCACCCCTGTGGGTCACTGATGGCCTGTGCTCCAGCTGGGGTCTGAAACATGCACACTTAACCTCCATGACACCGATTCCACAGGCCCCAATTCAGGCAAAGAGCATCACAAAGTGTAGTGATCCTTAGGGAAGCAGACGCAGCCCCTTCTTCCCCTCCCCCGGCCCCCACCCCAAAATCCAGCTGGTTATTAAGACCACGTGTTTGAGGACCTGGATTTGAATCCTGGCTCTGTCGCATCTTGATTGTGTGGCCTTAGCTAAGTAATATAAATTTTGGGGCTCAGTTTCTTCATCTGACAAATGGGGATGGTCCCATTTGGTGAGGACTGAAGGAGGCCAACGCATAGGAAGGCCCATGCCGGACACTGAGATGCACCCAGGTCACGAGCCACTATGACCATCAACTAATCACAGAGCTTCCCATGCCTCAGTCGAGCCCCTTATCATCTCTCCAACCTCACCTTTACCATCTCCCCCCTTCACCTGGTCCAGCCGCTTCAGCCTCTTTGCTGTACCTTTGACACCCTCAAGCTCCTGCCCCAGGGCCTTTGTACCTGCTGATCTCTCTACCTGGAAAACTCCTCCACACAGTTAAATCCATCTCCTTTTAGTCCTTAGTCAACTCTCACCTTCTTAGTGAGGACCTCCCTGCCTACCTTATTTAAATTTGTAATTCCCTCCACCTCACCAGTCCCCTTCCCTGCTTTATTTTTCTCCTTAGCACTTAAACTTCATCCGGCATTATTTTGGGCACTGTCTGTCTCTCCCCATGTATTAGTTATCTATTGCTGCCCAACAAATTACTCCAAAACTTAAGGGCTTAAAAAAATAAACACTGATTATCTTACAGTGTTTGTGGGTCAGGAAAATGGGAGCATCTTAGCTGAGTGGTTCTGGCTCAGGGTCTCTCCTAAGGTTGCAGTCAAGATGTTGCTGGGGCTGTGGTCTCATTCAAAGGCTTGACTGGGGCTGATGGTCTGTTTCCAAGACGGCTGTCTCACCTGGCTGTGGGTGGGAGGCCTCAGTTCATCACCATGCGGACCCTGCCATGTCCTCACACCATGACTGGATTCCCTCAGAGTGAAGGATTCAGGAGAGAGCAGGATGGAAGGCATGATGTCTTTACAACCTAACCTCAGCCAAGTCACCTCCATCATTCCTTTGTATTTGTGTGTGTGTGTGTGTGTGTGTGTGTGTGTGTGAGACATAAGCCACCCTACTCACTGTGGGAGGAGACCACACAAGGGTGTGAACACCAGGAGGCAAGGATCACTGGGGCCATCTTGGAGGCTGGCTACCACAGCTTAGAAGCACATAAATACCATGAGAGCAGGACCATGTCTGTTTTGTTCACTGCTGTGTTTTCAGTGTCTAGAACAATGCTTGGCACAGAATAGATTCTTAATCTGTTTTGTTGGATGATTGACTGAATGAACAAATGAACAGGACCAGGTGGCACCTAGCCCAAGCAGAACATGCACACTTCTCGGAGGAGATGGAGCCTGGCCTCCACAGCAACTCTTTCTCCTGGGCAGTCTGTGAAGGACTCTCATCATCTGCTACAATTTTGGAATAACGGGGAGGAGGGGGGAGGAAAAACAACAGCTCCTGAACACAAAGCCACTACCTCATAGTACTTCCAGAATGTTCCAACATGCAGGGGTGCTACGAGGCTGTGCTGTAAAGGGCACCAGGTTAGATATCAGAAGGCCAGGCAACGAGTCCTGGCTCAGCCACTTAATTGACAAACGACTAAAGTGTAGTTTGTTACTCTTTAAATGGGAGCAACCACGCCTACTCTGCCTAGTACCCAGGCATAGAGTTCTTTCATTCATTTACGTTGGTCACTTCACCATAACCCTTGGCTCATGGATTCACAGTTTAGTGAGAGACTCAGATGGACTGGTACATTCTGGAAACAGCATCACACGGTTTGACAGACCGTTGTTACGTGCCTTGATGAATTCGGCACCTGTTATATGCAATCACGGTGCTAAATCTTGTATTATATCATCTATACGCAGTAGGTATATTTAATCCCCATTTTACAAGTGAAGCAATGCAGTTTCAGAGAAGTTAAGCAATTTTTTCCAGGTCACACAGCTAGTAATTTTAAAAAACAGAAGCTAGATTTTTCTGACCCCTGAGCCTTTCTTACTACACCAGAATTTTTTCATATGTATGTTCTAAATGTCTACATTTAAACTGACAGCTGAGAGAGACATTTCTAATAAAAGCCCAAATCAATTCATTTACTGCTACTTACTTTTTAATGTAATACTTGTGGTGGGCTTGGATTGTGTCAACTCAGCAAAGTTGGAATTCCCAGAATTCCTTTCCCTGCAGAGTTTCTGGTTAGCATGGGCCACAAGAGACATTTTAGGCGAGACTTGGAAGGGAGAAGTGGAGAAGCAGATATACAGATTTGATGCTTGGAGATGGGTACTGGGGCACCGTCGTGGCTCGCCCACATGGATGCTCTTCCGCGGACTCACCTGGCTGGTGTGGGGCAACAGCGAGCCTGCAGCCTCTAGCTCCTGTGCATCTGCTTTCAGCTTCTCCGAATCCTGGGCAAGTGCCTGTTCTGTGATGAGTGACACCGCCTTCTCCTGAAGGTCACTTCGGCAGGTCTGTCCTTGTAACTTCCCTGGCTCATCCTCACCTGTTCCCACTTCTCGTTCATCCTTCCTTTGTGGCGGCCACCCTGCTGACACACAGCACCACGTTCAAAGAAACAGGCTCATATATGCTATGGAACCAGCTCCCACATTGGCATGAGGTCAGATTCCGAGGCTAAATCCCTCTGGTTGATTTTCCTTCTCTGATCAAAGCTTTATACAATAATTGGAGGCGAATTTTCATTTCATGTACTTTAAAATAGGATAATCTAAGCCTATTTCCATAGCTCCACTGTTTTCAAATACCTATACCCCAAATCTATGAGCATGTAAGGAACACCTACATGTGCTACACATCATGGTTAAAAGCTCTGCTTGAAGAGTCTAAGGAATACACTCAAGGTGAACACCAGGGCTGTCTGGAGAGAAGCAGAGGTGGGGGAGGGAGTCCTTTTGCCTTCAGCCTAGACTCCTGGGTCCTCCCAGTTCACTAGGTGGTTTTTCCCCAGGGCCCTGGACTTGGCCATGGCTTTGAGGGCAGGAACACCTCCGAGTTGGCTGCTAGAGCACACGGACCGTCTAGTGGAAAATCCTGATGCCAGCTTGAGCCTGTATTGTAAGCATGCGGCTAGACTGGAGGGAAGTGCCCGCTCAGTGGGAAGTGATGTGTCTTCCTGGACAATGCCAGCGGGCACTATTTGATATTCATAAACTTTTCCAGACGCTCAGAGCAGAAGATGAGCAACTTCTTTTTTTACAACCACAAATAGTACATTCCTAAGCTCGTACGTGTGTGTGTGTACATATGTGCATGAAAATGACTGAACTGTGTAGCTCATGGAAGACGAAAGCCCATCTTTCATCTCATTCATGATTGAGCTTCCATCAGCCTGCAGGAGAAAATAATAATTAATAACTCCCCATTTATACAAAAAAAGAAATAGCCACTTGAAAAAGTGTGATGAGCCTCTATTTTAGTTAAAGGAAAAAAGGATAATTAGCAAATCCATGAATGGATGCAACCTCATTTACCGAGAGGAGGAAGGAACATTTTACAAAAATGTTCATTTATTTATTAAATGTAATTAAATAATTTAAAAATTTTTATTTAGTCTGTTTTATAATGGTGGAAAGACTCACCTCAACTGTTTATCCCAGGGGTCAGGGAGCTATGGGTTGGCTGGCTGTTTTTATAAATAAAGTTTTATTGAAACAGAACCATGCTCATTCTTTAACTTACTCTCTTTGGCTACTCTCATGTTACAAGAGCAGAGTTCACTGGTTGGGACAGAGACCTAAGACCCTCAAGCTAAAATATTTATTATATGGTCTTTTAATAAAAGTTTGCTGATCTCTGGTTTATTCTATAATCTTTGTGACCAATGTGGTACCCAAATACTTCCCTATTGCTTTCATGTTTTCAGTAAATAGTGTGTCTCCCCAAAATTTAGATGTTGAAACCCTAACCCCTATGTGATGGAATTAGGAGGTGGGACCTCTGGGCGGTGATTAGGTCAGGAAGGTGGAGCCCTCCTGATGGGATTAGTGCATTTATAAAAGAGGCCCCAGAAGAGGCCCCTTCCCTTCCCATTACAAGGAGAAGATGGTGTCTATGAACCAGGAAGCAGCCCTCACTAGACACCAAATCTGCCAGTGCCTTGATCTTGGGCTTCCCAACCTCCGGAACTGTGAGAAATGACTTTCTGTTATTTGTAAGTCTATGGTATTTTGTTATTGCCACCCAAATGGACTGAGACAGTCAGCCCCTCAGACGACTGGATGTTTTTAAAGCCAATATTTTTTGCAGGCATACCATGGGCCAGGCAGGGGGCAAATGCATTTGCGGTCCTGTCTCATTAGATCCACTCCAAATCTCTTTTAAGGGCCTATGGTGAGTTCCAGTGTTCAGATGCAGAAACAGACCCAGAGAGGCTGTCTGACTTGCTCAGGCTCACACAGCAGGGAAGGAGTGAGGCTGGGATTTAAGCCTAAGCAGTCAGATTTCAAAGCCTTCCCTCTTCACATGTCTCTCCTGCACAGGTAAGTTTCGTAATATACCACTTCCCCTGGGAGGCAAAACAGTTATTCCAGGTTCTTCATGGCATCCCTCCCCTCCGGGTTTCCCCAATCCAAGGTGGGCACAGCTGTATCTGCCCCTGAAGCCTGTTTCTAACCAGGATCCCGAGTCCAGCTCACAGCTCCATGATTTCTTCTCCGTGTTACATGTTCCACACTCACTCACACACCTGTCCTCTCATTATGGCAGATCTACTAAGTCAGCTCTGTTCCAGGTGTGAGGACATGCTAGTGAACAAGTCAGTCAAAAATCCCTGCCTTCACAGAGCTGACGTTTTAGTGGGGAAGACAGACCATCAGTAAATAGCCAGATACGTGACATCACACCAGATAATTACAAAGGCTATGTGGGGAAGAGCAGAGTAAAAGGGATGAAATAAAATTCTGGGGATGGTATTTTAGATAGAGTGATCATGGAGGGCTTCCTTGAGGCAGTGACAACTGGGCAGAGAGACCTGAGACCAACTTTTCAGGCAGAGGGCAGAGCCAGTGCAACACCCTGAGGTCAGACAGTGGGAAGGAGCCTGGGGAATCTGAGAAACAGTACAGGGTGGACATTAGGGCTGAGGTGCCAAAAGGCAGGCAGGGGAGTGGCCGGAGGGCCTGCACTACTTAGGGCCTGGTGGGAGTTTGGGCCTTACCCTCTTTGTGCAGGGAGGCCCGCTCTGATGCAATGGTGGTGTTTTGTTTTTGTTTGAGGAGATGGGAGGTCTCGCTCCTTTCCTCACACTGGCCAGTGGGAAGGACACAGGTCCCTTTAACCCGGGCTCAGGATCTGCCTTTGTCCCAAGGGCAGGCTCTGCTCTCACCCCACAGAGCAACCACAGCGTGAGACAGCAGACTTGGAGGAGGGACAGGAGGCGGTGGAAAAAATGACTCACTGCTGGTCCTGGCAGGGGCCCCTCCCACGGCCGTATCTGCTTTCTGCTCGGCTGTGGAAAACCTGCACTCCCCCAGGGCCCCAGGCCTGCCCCCCCGCCACCAGACGCCTCATCCTTCCCTTCCCCACAGGCTGGCAGTCAGAGAGCCGGGCCCACCACCCTCCACCTGGGCCTGGTTTCCTCACCTGGTGTGCATTCTAGACCCAGAGCAGGAGGCCTCGAGAAACGCCACCCTGACATCGCCCAGATGGCTTCCCTGGCAGCTCTCTCTCCCGGCCCCTCTGGGTGGGCCACCCCCAGAGCTCCGTGTGCTTCAGGCTCTAGAAATGTTTATTTTTGCATCTGCCAGTTCACAAGGCAATTATCGGTAACCGAATCCACAGCCCAGGAAATCTGACTTCATCGGGACACTGAAGCCCAGGAAGGGAGACACTTCTGGGCCCTGGACTGACCACAGACACCACGGAGGGGAGTTCCGCGCCGTGGCATCGGTGACATCACTGCGGCTTGGGTCCGAGACATGACGTGAGGGCAACCCCCAAGGAGGCCGGGCCCGGCGCGTCCGGGGGAGGTTCCCCGCCGTCTGCCCACCAAACCCCCGACACTTCCGTTTCTGGCATCAAGCAAGGATGGATTTGGTGGTTGTGAAAAGAATTAGCTGTTAATGGACTTGCCGTAAACAAAGATCAATTTCCAATTCTATGGATTTTTGAGTGGAGGGGGTTTAAGGTTAAAGATGTACAAATTTATAAAATATGTCTAAAATGATTTGGTGGAGCCATGGCTAGCACCCTAGAAGGGCATGTAACCAAGGAAACGCCGGAAAAATTTCCACACCCCTCTGAGCAAACAGTGTTTCAGCTCTGTTCTTTAAACACACACACACAGAGCCAGTTCCTCTGAAACCTTTCTGAAATGCTTTCAGCAGAGACACAGAGCTAAAAGTCTGAAGTCTTCAAGTCTATTTCCTGGCCATTTCCATTTCCTAAGATATGACATGAATTAGCGAAGGTTTTGATGCCCTGACTGGCCCAGGGGTGATGAGAGTGACCCAAGCAGTTCAGCACTGAAGGCAGCACCACGCAGCAGGTCAGCGCCTGGTTACGGACCAGAGGACTGAGTTCAAATCCTGCCCTTGCCCCTTTCTATTCAGGTCACGCTGGGCAGGTTCCATCTTATTTCCTTCTGGAAAATGGAGATAACAATGTTTAGCTTTACACATGTGTTTCTGGGAGGACTGAATACTGCCCGGTGTATAGACGGATTCAGTAAAGCACAGCGTTAAGAGTATGATGCATCAGCTCATTCGCAGAAAATCTTGATTCTGCTCCTGCCTCCTCTAACTCATGGCTCAGAGCACGTTGCCCAGCATCCAGATCCCAGAGACTTTGGGCCTGAGGGATGGTGTCTGCAGGGATGGCTCTGAATTCCAGAATCTCAGGCCCGAGTTCAAGCTTCTTATTAGTGGTGTGTCCTGCACCAGTAGCCTCACCCGTCTGAGCCCCAGCTTCCCCATCTGTCACACAGTGATGATAACACTCACCCCAGCCAGTGACTGCTACGGGTGTCTAACATGCGATTTCTTACTAAAGTGTGGAATCAGTCCTCAGGTGGGTGAGAAAGCCAATGCTGGAATTTGTCCCAATAAGTCCCTGTAAGGGCTCCAGAGTGGCCCCCATGACCAGCTGTGACCCTGTGGCAGCCAGTCAGGCTGAGTGAGAGGCTGCATCACACGGCGGCAGCCCTGATAGCAGCGGGGCTGGGCCAGGGTCTCTCTGCAGACAGAACCACAGGGGACCTGGCCTCCAGAAGATCTTCCAACCCAGGACAGCCCATTCTCACAGCCTATAGGAGAGGTCAGCTTTTCCAAGTGGTTTCTAATCCCTCCCCACCACCCTGTCCCGTCAAGGGCCCCAGCTTCAGCACTCCTGGCATTTGGACCAGATCATGCTTGGCTGGGAGGCTGTCCTGTGCACTGTAGGATGTTTAGCTGCATCCCTGGCCTCCAGCCACTAGATGCCAGCAAAGCATCCTGAATCATAACCATCAATCCCACAGTTGCCTTTACATTCATAGAACACATGCTCATATTTGTAAATGATACAAATTATTGCTTTTCATGCTTAAAA